ACAGTGTTGTGGAAAAATATTAAAATACTCTTCACAATCTCACACATTAACGTGGATGATTTTCCCATGAGATTCTCAAGTTAGAGCCTGGATATCATTTTGTAATATGCAAGACTGATATTTAGGCAGAGCAGATGGAGATCGGCTCAGCATTTAGCCTGCCAGTCTGGTTTGTAGCATTGTGTGGAGGGATGGGGATGTCACCACGCACGAGGGCTGTGTGGGAAATGGCTGCAGCTCAAAATGTAGATTCTGAATCATGGGGAAGCTAGTAGTAATAACACATTGCCAGACAGAGCAAAATAAATCCATAAGTCGGGCCTATAAAATACAAACAAGCCAAGCTGGGCCACGTGTCTTGTAAGGGTGAATAGACTCAATTCACAAAGCTAACATACTATAAGGATCCTTGTTTTCAAAAAGAGTGACTGTTTTTTTCAGCTTAATCCAACAAGATATTAAAATGACAGTGACATGGCTAAAATTAACATCTTACCCCTGTGCTATAGCTTTGTGAAGCCTAATTCATCACAATAAGGATTTATTTAACAAGTAATTTCTACCGCAGCCTCTATTTGCTTCAGATACAATCAAGAGAGCTAAAAAATGAACATGTTATCTGAATCTGATAGTATGTTTGAAGGGAACACAGCTTAAAGTCGGATTGTGTCCTTAGTTAATCGGTCCCATTAACTAATGTATGGAAAGGTTATAAAATGGAAGATTTATTGTGGCTCAAAGAAACCAGTCAGTTCCCAACTGTCATTTCTTCTGAGCAGAGTTGAAAGTTACACAAGATTTGTGATTGGTTGATATGGACGACAAGACATCTTCTTGCATAAAAGTGTTTATCTATATCTCTGTAGGTTCTGGTGGTAGCATATGACAATATGCCAGTTCTGCACTCATGACCCTTCCTTCTACTTGGGCTGTTTCTGTCTGTAACTGTTCCAAATAGTCTCCATTGCACCTTTGATGTGTGCCCAATCCTAAGGGCTCATTTACTAAACGTTCTTCAGCTAGAGATTCTGCTTTCCCTTCAAACAGGCAGTCAGGGTAGGAGGCATTCATAATAAAATGTCTCCTGTTTTTATGGTACATCCGTCCCATGTGTAAAACCAGAGAAGGTTTAAATAAGGTTTTCTGTATGCTTAGTGACCCCTGCATTTCTAATACGGTTATGTGCCTTTCCTCTGAGAGTACAGCTGTATTTCATTTAATAAAGCGATGCAATGAGCACTGACGATCAATAACCTTTGGTAACTAACCACTCAAACATCAGCACCTCAGTCATAATCATTAAACAATTATATCTGATTGGCTCATTCCAACAACTGTATTTGAAAAAAAAGGATTATTGTAAATTGTTGTGATCACAATTTCAGATTTCCATACAGATCAAAACCGTTAGAAGGTCGAATCTTTCAGATCTATATGTCGGGTTATAGATCCTAAAGACAAAAATACGTTACTTTTAATAATATGAGAGCCAATAGAGGGGGGTGCAGCGATGTGCAGGAGATACCAACCTCCAACCAGAAATCAGCTTTCACTGGAAACAACACCACTAAACCATTGTAAGCTGCACTGGGTGTAGTTGCTACAGGTTACTGTCTATTTGTACTATTCAGTGCAGTCCACATGTATGACTCCCAACATTGTACCGTGCTTGGGGCAGGAACATATCACTGATCTTTTCAATGTCATTGCCTGTGGTCAGAGAGCAACTTGGATGGATCTCATATAGTCACGCTGGGTCTGATTTACCAAACCGTAGGGAACAAAAATCACAAAACTAGAACTTGCTATAGCAACCATCATGAATTTATATTTCATTTTTCCCTTAAGATGAAACTTGATTGCAGAACCCAACCTGATTGCTCTTAGCAACAACTCCTGTTTTCTGCTCATTTTCTTCTCCCCAGTTTCAATGCTTCTTTTCCGCTTGGGGAAGTATGATTTGGTTAGTCTGTTCTAAGCCCCATTCTTGTGGTGGAAGTGCATGCTAGGTGGGATGCATAATATATTACAAATGCTAATTTACATCATCCTTCTAATGAAATACTTACCAATGGACACATAAAAAGCGCATGTCCACAGTTGCGCCAACATATTTGTTGGGGGGAGTAGCTGAACAATATGGCGATCTGGGGAATGTATAATGAATGCAGGAAGTGTCAAATTATGATTGTTTCAATTGGCTGCTGTAAGATGAATGTGGTTCTTTAAATTTTTACGTGCTGTGCTTTGTCTTTTAGGTGAGAAACCCTTTAAGTGCGAGTTTGAAGGCTGCGACAGACGCTTTGCCAACAGCAGCGACAGAAAGAAGCACTCCCATGTTCACACCAGCGACAAGCCGTATAACTGCAAAGTGAGAGGCTGCGACAAATCGTACACCCACCCCAGCTCATTGAGGAAACACATGAAAGTGCATTGCAAATCTCCACCTCCCAGCTCAGGCTATGAATCGTCCATCCCTTCCCTGGTGTCCCCTTCCTCTGATTCAGGACATGACCCTGCAGCCACCTCTTCTCACCCTGAGCGTTTGTCCTCCACCCAGGCCAACCTGAGTGAATGGTATGTGTGCCAAAGCTCAGGGGCAACTGGCATCCCTACTCCCCCTAGCCACACGCCTTCACCCGAGCATCGAAAGGCCTCCTACAACAACTGTGACTCTAGACCGAATTACTAGGACTGATCTCAGCCCAGTGCAACTTGCTTGAGGTTTACTAAATGAGAAATACTGTGTTTTATAATGACTGAAGTGATCGCCCTTGTTTGTGCCTGTAATGGATTAGGGAGTGGGCTAATGTGACTGGTGGCTAGCATAAATGCACAGTGGACGTGAGCACAAAATCAATGCTATATGTGTGTGAATGAGTCTTTAAACCTTACAAGAGGACAAATAAAATTCTGCCCATCCCGTGTTTAATCAGAAAGCACAATGAGATTTTACAACTCTATCTGATTACTGTTCATCCATCAGGATAATCCCTATCAATGAGCCAAAGTCATTTTTTTGAGGGTTCCCAAACGCTGCCCACTCGTGTCTGAAATGCACCCTCCCACGGTGTTCTGAGATCTTTGTTAGCTGCAGTGCTAGTGCTTTTATAAACTTGTCATTCTTTTGTTACTGGTTTGTATAAAAGAACAACAAAAAGTATTTTATTAGTTGTCATGGTCAGTCAAATGTATATACGGAGCGATCAGACTGGTGTATATATTTCTTTTTTTGGATGTAAAGAGACCAAAGCTGGCCACATGGACTGTGCTACAGAAGGTGTAATTATTTTATTAAAAACCGTCCTTTTCCTTTTAATGCCAGCGGTGTTTATGGTGATGTTCAAATAATGTTATTGTACAGACAGAGTTATCAGACATGTTTGTGACGTGTTACTGATTTTTCAAAAAAGGGGCGACTTGCAAGAACATATTTCATGTACTGTAAAATAAACATTTTTTTTTGTACCAAGGAAACCTGAATTGGTGCTTTCTATTAAAGTCAAACTGTGGTGTACTATGCACTAGAGAGTAAGGACAACTCTCAACTATTAGTATAAAGACAATGAAAGCAGTAAGGGGGTAAAGAAATGACAACACAGGGGCTGGGGAAAATGCTGCTCTAGCCTCCCTCCAGTGTTGGCCACACATGATGCTGAACGTAAGCATAAGCCAGTAGGAATTCTGATTCTCCTTGTCAACAGAGAGTACATGACCAAGTGCCTAGATCTTTAGGCAGCACCGAAGGAAACCTTGAGCATTATTTTATCCATTGGGTGCATAATTCAGCTCAAGGCAGCATAATTCAGAGCATAAACCTCAGAGCATAGGGCCATTTAATGTAATGTGCCCATATTAAGGGTCCACTATTCCGCTATACCAGCATATAATATAGAGTTTGTATACTGTAATAGCATACCTTATCCCCCATTTAGTTTTGTACTATATGTTATCCACCATTTAAGGCTGGAGGGAGGCTCGGAAGGGAACTATGCAACACCCTTCTTTGAGATAATTTGCCAGGAAATGTATTGTGAGCAGTAAAATATCTCCATAATACAGAGGGTTTAATAGGCTTTATGTAAATTAGTAATATTCAAACTGGCCTTGTAAACTCTAATTGATTTTATCAGATTAGGGGGAAATTGAAAAAAAAAAATCTAAGCTTGAGCCCAATGTTGAGCCCAAGGTTTTCAGCCAGCGAAATTTGCCTATATGGACTGCACAAATGTTTTTTTGTTGGCTTGGCTGTTCAAAGAGCATTATTACTCTATAAACTATAGAAGCTGGCTTTGCTGTATGTGTTCTATAAAGTGATGGAGCTGCATCTACAGGAGCAGAATCAGCTGGTTAAACTGGCCCAGCCAGAACTCCCAAACTTCACCTTTCCTCCTCTCCAAATGGTGCCTGCTCGCTTGCCACGAATGGAAAATGTATGCTGAGCATCTGCACAGCACTTTGCATATGAGAGATAAGATTTGCTTCCCATTCTTGTCTTTGGGGTGTGAATTTCTCAAACTGTTTGCTTCTATAGGCTAATCACCTTTAATTTTTCATTTCCTTGTTACAGATGTCTGCCCTGTTGCTCTCAAGGTAATCTAGACAGTCACAGCTGAAAGCTTGAATATTATGCTTTAGACATCAAAGCATCTCTCCCTACAAAGAAGTATTCTTCTGAACGGTGGATCTTCATGGTAAGTTAGTATTTCTATGGCAATAGGCAAGTCATACTTAATTCTTGAAAGGCTAAGTCTGGAGTCTCTCCACTCTTTTCATCCAGGACATAATATTTACGTCCAAAGAAGCCTTTCTCTTGTGCGTACACGTATATATTTTTGTTTGACTCCAGCTAAATCATTTTCATTTAATTTCCAGTAAACAAAAAACACGCGAATGGGGCACTTGTTCCAGATCATAATAAAAATGGATAATAATGTTGGGAAGAAAAGGAGCCGCCTGAATTGAGGCGTCAGGAAACTTTTGTTTGGGCTTTCTTCAGTGATCAGAGAATTCATTTTGATTTGATGGCCAAGTTTCAAAAGGCAAGGAAATGGTTTTTAAGGGAGAAGAATGGAAGAAAAGCCTAATCAAGTTCGGGTTGTTCAAAGGGGTCTGGTTTTGGGGTTGAAAGTGTGAGTTTTATGGTGCATCAGCATGGCACGTTAGGGTCTCTATGGTAATGAGAGAAGCAATAGCAAGCTGCCATCAAAGGAGGCACACTCCATTTAAGACACAGTCTATTAAGATACATTTGGACTGACCTTTGCTTTCGTGCTAGCTTAATACAACGGATCATCCCCTAACCATACATACCAGAAAGCCAATATATATCTATCTTGCCTATAAGTATGTATTGTAATCTATTTGTAATCTATATATCTATCTATCTATCTATCTAATTATATATATATATACACAGTCGTGCCCACAGACAGCCAGGCTGAGGGGGTTCCCAGGATGCCAGGACTGCACCTGGGTCCTTTAACCTCTTCCCTGCCGCCCCGCCAGCCAGACCCAGGAATGACGGCAACGCGCAAGTAATTGTCTTGTTTATTTTATCCAAGTACCTTTATGAATGGAAGAAAAATAAACACGGAAAAAAAAATCAAAAAAAAAATCAAACCGTTCATTCCCTTTAGTGGCAGTTCATGCGGGTGAATAAAAAGGATGGTCCGTCTTCTATTGAGCTGGGAAATCTTTGAAGTGGGAGTTATTATCTGAGACATTCTTCCTTGTTGTCCTAACAACGTTGATGAAACGTTAAAGGTTCTTTATCAGCGATTTGTGAAGTCCAGGCAGCCAGTTAGCTGAAAAGCCACTTACTACACTGGTAAAAAAATCATCTCATTGGTGACACATAGCCAGCGACATCAACACTCTCACCATAATGTGACAGGTGATGGGGGAGAGCAGAAAATAGCAAAATAAGAGCAAAATAAGAGCAAAAATAGTATAACATTATTATTATAATTATTAAAATTAGTATAACATTATTGTTATTATTATTATTATTATTATTAATACTACTACTAATAATAATTAATATAGTATATCAATTTATATTATGCCTACAGTTATATATATATAGATATCTATATAGATATCTATATCTATAGATATCTATGTAGATATCTATAGATATATTATAGACAGTATATACACACACAGTCACTCTCTTTCTCTCCCTATATGGCACATACATTTATAAAGCATTATTTTATATAGATAAGATCCTGTAAACTTTAGTCAATCTATTGCTTAAAGAGAAATGTACTTTTTGTTTTACTTGCAGTTATTTTGGCATGTTGGGGAGAAATTGGCAGAGAAACTCAATTAAATTAGAAATGCTACTTTTTCTAAATAGGTTGTGTTGGTTTAAAAACTCACGGAAATAAGTAATGCATCCTATTTACAGTATGTTACCACATGATGGATTCTAATATGTTCCCTGGAAGACTGTCTACCTCTTAATTCGTTTCAAGTCATGCATTGTATTGTTTCGCTATAGCGTAATCAATGCCTGAAGGAATTTTAAAAATACATTGTTATACTACTAATAATAACAATAATCATATTCAGACATCTAGAACACTGTCAGCCTAATATTATTCATAAGTCTAGTGGTGACACAATGAAACAAGCCTATTTAAAACAAGAATACAAAAAAGTCTCTCCATGAGAATGTCTTCTGACTGCTGGGTATGTGTTGTTTAGTGAAACCTCTATTTACAGAGCAGGTGTAGAATGGGATGATAAAGTACAAGTTTAATCCCTCTCTGCCCTGTGAACCTCTTCAACAGGGAGATTGGCTGCCTTGCAAATGTCTCTTCTTTGAAAGTGCCTGGAGTGGTGATTTGGATTTCCCTGCTCAGTCATCTGTCCACAGGAGCTGGGCTGTGATTACAAAGCTAGGCTGACCATTGACATCAGAGGGCGGTCAGGTGCACAGACACGATTCAATCGCTGAGAGATCTTTCCATAAACAAGCATGCAAAGCTCACCCTTTTGTGCGTGTTTATGTCAATGCAAAGAAGCAGAGCTGTACAGCCAAAAATAGGTGAAAATGATCTTGTATCTATGGAGGCCTTTAAATAGCATCAGCCATAACTAGTAAATATGGGAATATTTAACCCAAGAACAAACTTGTCATATATTGCAGCTTCCCAGTCCTCATGTGTGGTGGTTGCATTGGTTTTTATTCTTCAGTTAGGAATGAGCTTGGGTTTGGTCCAAACTTGAGTTCGTTCAAATCCAGAAGTAAGCTGTCAGTGCTGTACCAATGCCATTCAGCTTTCCCCATACCGCAACTGCATTTAGGCAAAGGCGTGGGATGCTGATGACATCACAGATCTTATATGGACATATTAAGTCAATGACATTCTCCCATATGACATTTTAAGGTTGTACTGGGAAATATTTATAGATCTGTTGGTAGTACACAACAATGGCTGACATGCTTTGCCCAAGCTATCTAGGAGGGAGAGCTAATAGGTGAGGATAGATTCTTCCCAAACAATTGCATTGTTTTCCCCACAGGGTGAAGAGTTTGGAGAAGGGAACAATCTAGGACAACATAGCTGAACTGGAAAGTGAGTTGAATTAGATAATTTTTCCAAATCAGCTATTTTTACCTAGATTGTTCACTTCTGCCTTCTCCAAACTCTTCACCATTTAGTGAATAACCCTGCCAGTGTTGAGGATGTCTGCTGAGCACTTCCTTTCCCTGTCCATGCATGTTCACTCAGTAGCATTGTGCATGTTTGAAATACCATCTTTCTTTAGAAAATTCAATCATTCAGCTGCCAGATCCTGAAGAAGGATTAGCTCAGGTTCAGACCGAACTCAAGCTCATCCAAGAAGATGTTAGTGCCGACC